CTATCGTATTTTACATCACGAATTTTAAAAATATTTTTAATAAAAAATTATACAGTATTTAATAAAAATAAATATAGAAAATACAATCGGCTAAACAAAAATTCATATGTTTGATAAAAATAATTTTTGAATTTTCAAATATAAATTTTTAATTATTTTTTTAAAATTACACATTTCTAATTTTTGTATTTAAACTTATTAAAACCATATTTTAATTTTAGAATATTGTCAAAATCACTTTAAAATTGTGTTTATTTTAAACAAAAGTTATAGTATAGTCATGAATGAGGTAGGCTAAAAACATTGTATGTAGCTTAATATCATTATGGAGGAATATAATTATTTTTAATGTAAGAAAATTTATTTGTAAATATGAACTCAATTGCTCATGTAATTACTATTTCAATTTTGGTGTAGGTACATCATCTCTCAAGAAATTTTTCATTAGCATATACTCTTTTCCCTATACATACATACACATTATATGTATATATATACACACACACACACATACATATGAAACACAAAAGGATGAAATTCTTTTATCATGCATACCATAAATTTTTATTTATGCTATTAAAATACCAAACATTTCTCTATAATGTACGAAAATAAATAAATAAATGTTTCAAACAAAAAATTCTACTAACAAAGTTATAAAATAGAGACTTACCCGAATATGTATCATTCTTCATTTCTTTGCGGAACAAAAACAACAGAGAAGTACTCGGAAAAAATTACTCGACAACAGGGTTTAAAATCCCGAAACAGAGTCTTTGTTTCGAAGTAATGGAATTGTTGTATATAAACGGTTCATAGCTTTATTAGATTATTGAGAGATGGAATTGAGTTAATTATTACATGAAGAGCCAAATATAAGTTGTGTGAATTGAATCATTACCACTTATAAACTTGGAATTGTGAAATTGGACCAAAAAGACTAATAATGTACATACATTTCAAAAAGCATAGTATGTAAGCACATTGAGAAAACTTTTTATTCAATGAATTAGAAAAATACATTAAAAAAAACACTATTTATAAGCATGATTCCAAATTAAAAAAAAATTGTTGAATATTATTAATTCAATGAACCATATTTATTTTAATTTTTTAAAAGTAAAATTCATATGTCTATTATAATAAATTAATACACGTATGTTATTTATAATGTAATAAAAATAATTAATAAATAAAAAACATAGACGAAAATGTAACACGATTCGAAAATACCGAGACATTACATAGTGAAAGAGAAAAAAAAAAAGGCTCTTTCTCTACAAGTTTCAAATTACTCTCTCTTTAAAATCCACAACCGCAGCAACTTCTTGCTCGATCAGATTCAAAAGCTCCGGCACCTGAACAACAAGATCAGCCCGTGAAAACCGAGAAAATTTTTTCTGAGTGATAGAAAGTTGTGACTCGAGGAACACGAAAGCATCGAATCAAATCTCATTTGGTTTGAAGAAGGATGAGTTAATTCGTGAAATTGATAAAATTTAACGAGCACTTTATTAATCCAAAAAAGGAACGCAACACAAAATATTTCTCACCTCGGAAGACTGCAAAACTGGCGAGTGCTGGTGCAAAATCTGATATGTCTTCTCGTGTAATCCGACGAGCATATCAACTTGATCGCCCAACAGATCAACTTCTGCTTCCGCCTTTTGAAGATTCTCGCATCTCTTAATAAAAGCCGTCTTGTAAAGCAATTGTTTTCTCCTCAGTGAAGCAACAAGTTCGATCAACGAATGTAATTGAAGCTTCACGTTTTCCAGCCTATAAAAAAATTAGCTAGTGAATTTGTAAAACATTTTATATGAAGATCAATGAAATTTAGTCGTTAACGAATAATTTAGTTCATCGATAAAATCACAATACCTGGAAATAATCATCCCTAATTTTTCATATATTATGAACTCGAAATTTTTAGAAATGTCGAACTTGTTAAGTTCGTATAGCACGTAATTGACGATATCCAAGATATCTCTATTCGTCTCGTCAAATACTATCCGATTCACCTCTTGTCGAAAAAGGCCTTCATCGTTGTAAATTTCTACACTCTTCTTCCATTCTCTATACGCCTCTCTGAATGTAGTTGTATGTACATCCTCCCTTAATTGAGCCATTAATTCATCGTCCGATGTTGCATCTTGTAGCGAGTTTGTTTTAGCTTCGAGAAGATGGTTAAGAAGATCCTTTGTTGTCTCGCTAAAGACGATATAAAATATCTCTTCTCGAGTCTCAATGTCAATCTCGTCACTTTCAATTTTCTTGAGTCCTTCATTTACAATTTCCCTTATTTGTTTTTCATAGATATCATCTTTGTCTATTTGGCTCAATAAATCACTGTAGAAATTATTCATCAAACTTTTGAACAGAGTTAGATAAGTGTCTTCCATGATCACTGTTAGCAAATCTGCATCTTCTTTTTCTTGTCTCAGTATTCCAAGTTCATTGCATTGTTCTTCCTTGATTCCATCTGAATCCGAAGTCTGATGCATTTTCTTCCAGACATCATCCAAACTGTCCAAACCCAGATTCTTTTCATTCATTACATCAACTGGGGAAAACTTGGATTCATCTAAGTATGTTACATCTTCTTCATCATCAAAACTTTCGCATATCCTAGCGTTCACGTTAATTAGATTATCCAATCTCGTGATACTTTCCTCTATCTTTCCTTTCGGATTAATAAGATATTTTCGTTCCTTCAGAGTTGGTTGAAGTTCTCGTTTTATCCAATTCAACTCTTCGTTCTTTCTTTGAATAATCAATTCATGATTTTTTATCATCTTAGCAACATAGTTTCCATTATCCTCCTCTTCTCCGTCGTGGAGGATGTCCTTTTATTAATTTTTCTTCGAAGGAGAAATTCTTCGAACTTATATGATTATCGCCTTCTGATAAAGATTTCCCTATTGGTTTCATAAAACTTTTTCCACAAGCTTTCACAGCTTCGAGTTGAACCTCAATTTGTTCAAGGATATGCTCGAGCTCCCCTCGTAGGTATATGATCTCCTTCGTCGAATGAACAAAATACTTTCGTAAAACTTGATTCTCTTGAGTCTTCGTTTCCACTTCAGAATTATGCTGAAATTCCTTCATGAAACCTCTTATTAGTATACCAATTGTATCTTTTTCAATCTTCCACATCCATTTCTGCTCCAGGGGACCCATTTCAGACAAGAAAAGAGCACCATACATTTTCTTGAAAGCAAGATCAAGAGTTCCTTTCAAGATATCTAAGTCAGAACTCATCTTTTCAATGGGTTTCTCGAGATATCTCCCTTCATCCGAAGGTTCCTTCTCCGGTTCTAGCTTCTGTATGATGCTCAACACTTGCATATCAACAGAATTCTTCAGCTCTGAGAGCTCCCCTTCACTTCCATCATCTCTAGCCTCACAGCTGCTCATTACTATCTCCTCAACTCCCTCACGCTTTGCGCGTTCTAGCTCAAGATTCGCGTGTAACGAGACTAATTCTTTCTCCTTCGCTTCCAGAGCAAATCCAAGCCTTAACTCATTTTCCAATCTCTCTGTCAATTCTGTGTCTTTCTCTAATATCGCGAGCTCCGATTCCTTGAGACGTCCCTGAAGTCGATCCTTAATCTCTGTCAAATCCGAGATGAGTTCTTCGTGACAACTTTCAAGAATGTAACTCCCAGTTTCTTGCTGAACAAACTTCAGACATCCCTCAAGCTGCATTACTGCCAATTCATAGAACTTCGATGTCTCGTTTAATTGAGAAATAACTCCTCGTTTTTCCTTCAATTTTTCGTGCGCTTTCTCCATCGCGTAGTGCACAATCCACATCATTGTTGAATCTGCTATGGAAGATCTGAATCTGTCATCCACTCCGCCAAGAAGATTATTCATTTCTTCGAATTAGCAGTATTATATTCAGGGGACTTGAATGTACCTGAAGAATAAATCGAAAACCTTCGTGATTAAATTCTTTGAATATTTGATATGAAGTTCAGAATCCATCTTTCCTATAAGATGGGAATGATCCAGCTGACCTATTCTAATTTCTTAAATTGTCCAGAGATCCCTCATTAATCTCTTTCTTTCTTAGACACAATCCAAGCAAATTACTACAAGTGTAAGGAAACCCTTTTGAATTTTTCATGCGTCTGTACATTTAAACAGTCCAAAAAATTATATATGGGCATTTTCCAATAATATTTTTTAAGCATGTATTAATTATAAATTTTTAAATATTATATTATTTCATAACAAAAAGTACTGACACTATGTTTTTAATATTAAAAATAGAAAATTATTAACTGGGATCAACAAATAAAAATAAAATACATATTACCCACATATATATAAACATATATATATATATATATTACTAATCCCTTCTACTTGATTATATATACATAGATGGTACCCATCTGAACTTCATCCTCTCAATATTGCCTTGTGTCTCTTTAGCAGGGAGTAGAGCACAAGTTTGATGTTCTTTGAGTTTGTAGACACATACACATATATATATATATATAAATATATAGATATATAGATATATAGATTT